AGATAAATTAGATGTGTTTCATTCAGCCTATGAAAAACTAGAGTACCTATCCCTTGCTACCCCTGGTTTCTTTTGTAAACTGAACAGTGTGTCCTTCTAATCTCTCCTCATATGGAAGTTGTTCAAAATCCCTAATCTTTTCTGTTGCCCTTCTTTGTACTTTTTCCAATTCTAACATGCTTTTTTTTTTAGAAAGGGCAACCAGAACTGCATGCAATATTCGAGGTGTGGGATTACTATGGATTTATATAGTGGCATGATGATATTGTTGGTTTTACAGGGAGTCCTCAGACTTATGACACAATTCGTTCCTCAGAATTGCGTTGTAAGTTGAAATGTAAGTTGAAACCGCTTTTCCCATAGGAATCAATGATATGAAGGCGGGATTGGTTCCTGAACCAAGGCTTGATACACTATTTTCACCACAATAACCCAGATTTTTGTACTAAATGAATTATAGATGACTAATGTTGCAACATAAATGTATGTACAGTACATTGTATTTTGTAAACAGCATTCAAATAAACATATAAACTCACATATGTTGCTCAGAATGCTGGCAACACAGGCTCAGAAAGCCAGGGAAAACGGCACACATGCTGAGCCTCAGCTAATCACTGTTCAAGCTTTCTGATTGGCTCACGGCCCCAGGCTCAGCCAATCAAAAACAAGTGGCAACCTTACCTGGCAACAAGCTACCCTGCTGTCTCGAAGCCAATCAGAAGCGACTTCTTCCAGCTCTATACCAGTATAATACCACTAGGAAGTGATTTAAAGAGAACTTTATGCAAATAGAGCATCATAAGGGTGAAACAAACATCATGGGGTGGCGTGAGACGTAAGTCAGGCGTCATAAGTCCGAGGACTCCCTGTATCATCTGTGCCAGGGGTAGGCAACCTATGGCATGCGTGCCGAAGGCGGCAAGCGAGCTGATTTTCAGTGGCACTCACACTGCCCGGGTCCTGGCCACTGGTCTGGGGGGCTCTGCATTTTAATTTAATTTTAAATGAAACTTCTTAAACATTTTAAAAACCTTATTTACTTTACATACAACAATAGTTTAGTTATATATTATAGACTTATAGAAAGAGACCTTCTAAAAACGTTAAAATGTATTACTGGCACGCAAAACCTTAAATTAGAGTGAATAAATGAAGACTCTGAACACTACCTCTGAAAGGTTGCCGACCCCTGATCTATGCCTTTTCTAATGGTTCCTAACATTCTGTTAGCTTCTTTGACTGCCACTGCAAGTTAAGCAGATGTTTTCGGAGAACTAGCCATAATGACTCAAAATTCTCTTTCTTGTGTGATAACGGCTAATTTAGACCCTATCATTTATATGTATAGTTGGGATGATGTTTTCCAGTGTACGCTTCTTTGCATGTATTATGAACATTGAATTTAATCTGCCATTTTGTTGTACAGTCATCCAGTTTTATGAGATCCTTTTGTAACTCTTTGCAGTCTGCTTTGGACTTAAGTATCCTTGAGTAATTTTGTCACCTGAATGTTTACCCCTTTTTCCAGATCACTTATGAATATGTTGAATAGCATCGGTCCCTGTACAGATTCTTAGGGGACCTCTCTCCATTCTAAAAACTGACCATTTCTTCCTACCCTTTGTTTCCTGTCTTTAACCAGTTACTGATCCATGAGAGGACCTTCCCTCTTATCCCCGGCTGCTTATTTTGCTTAAGAGCCTGTGGTGAGGGACCTTGTCAAAAGCTTTTTGAAAGTCCAAGTTTACCATATCCACTGAATCACCCTTGTTCACATGCTTGTTGACCCCCTCAAAGAATACTAATAGATTGGTGAGGCATGATTTCCCTTTACAAAACCCGTGTTGACTCTTCCCCAACATATTGTGTTCATCTGTTTGTCTGATAATTCTGTTCTTTATTATAGTTTCAACCAATTTGTCTGGTACTGAAGTTAGACTTACCGGCCTGTAATTGCCAGGATTGCTTCTGGAGGCTTTTAAAAAAAATCTGCATTGCATTAGCTATCCTCCACTCACCTGATAGCGGCTGATTTACGTGATATGATATATAACCTAAAAAGAATAGTGTGACGGGGCCCAGCGTGTCAAGTTGGGGTGCCCACGTCGACCCAGTGCGAGGTTTGTACACCCCATCACACAGTCATCGGGATTCTCTGTTAAGCGGGCGATTACAGTCAAGTGGGTCCTGGCCCCCTGCCAGGATCACTTAGACAAATAGTCCGTGGGTCCTTGGGCAGGCAAAACAAACAAGCAGTCTGAAGCCGTGCAGCCTCCTGGCTGGGGCAGGCAATAGGATTTGGGGAATTAGCCCCCTGGCCAGGGCAAAACATCATTCAGTCTATGGCCCCTGGGTGGGGAAAACAAACAAACAGTCTATAGGCCGTACTTCCCTCTGGGCTGGGACATAGAGCAAGCAGCAGCCTCCTCAGCAGGCAGTGGCTTGGCTTCCCCGGCAATCTCCGCCATCAGCGAAACGCCTGGAGCGTAGTCTGGGTGTTTGGGCTCTACCACCAGGACTATCGCAGGAATCAGCAGTGTACGTCCTTTCCTCTCTGTCGTCCACTCCGACTGACCTGGGCTGCTTCCTTTTATCCAGCTTCTCCACCTGGAGCATGCACAGCAGGGGAAAGGGGGCATGGTTGCTTGGGCCCACAATGATTGGTCCGCCCCCGGCGGCCTAGTGTGGGGTTGGTACACCCCATCACAGGTGGCTCAAGTGTTGGAATCTTCCTCACATCCTCTGCAGTGATGAGCAATGCAAAGAATTCATTTAGCTTCTCTGCAACTGCCTTGTCTTTGAATGCTCTTTTAGTACCTTGATCATCCAGTGGTCCTGCTAATTGTTTGGCAGGCTTCCTGCTTCTGATGTATTACATGTGTTTTTTTTGTTTTTTTTGCTCCATTAGCTATCTTCAAGAACCCATAGAGGACAAGTGAGGTCCCATAGGAATAGAAAAGGACATAGTATCCGGCTTTAAAAAAGGGAGAAAAGGAAGGACCTGGAGAATAATAGGCAAGCTAGCATAACTTCAGTACCTGGAAAGATACTGGAACAAATTATTAAACAATAAGTTAATAACAATAATAGAGGATAATAAGGTGATAAGCAATAGCCAGTATGGATTTGTCAAGAACAAATAATCCCAAACCAATGTTATATCCTTCTTTGACAGGGTAACCAGCCTGATAAATAGAAACAGTAGACATGATATAGCTTAACTTTAGTAAGGCTTTTGACACAATTCCACGTAACATTCTCATAAGCAAACTAGGGAAATATTGTCTACGTGCAATTACTATAAGGCGCTTATATAACTAGTTGAAAGACTGTACTCAACAAGTAGTTATCAGTGGTTCACTGTCAAACTGGGAGGATACCAAGTAGTATTTTGCAAGGGTCTGTTCTGGGTCTGATAGTATTCAATGTTTTCATTAATGACTTGAATGATGGAATGGAAAGTGTGCTTATAAAATCTGCATACCAAGCCGGGGAAGGGTTGCAAACACTATGGAGGATGGGACTAGAATTCAAAATGATCGTGATAATTTAGAGAATCGGTCAGAAATCAATAAGACAATATTCAGTAAAGACATGTGCAAGGTACTGCACTTAGGAAGGAAAAATCAAATGCACAGATACAAAATGGAGAATAACTGAATAGGCATCATTACTGCAGAAGAGTCTGAGGGCTATAGTGGATCACAAATTTAATATGAGCCAACAGTATGATGGTGTTGTGAAAAAAGCAAATAGTATTCTGAGCTGTATTACACAGGAGTGTCATATGTAAGACATGGGAGGTAATTGTTCTGCTATACCCAGCACTGTTGAGGCCTCAGCTGGAGTACTGTGTCTAGTTTTTGGCATCATACTTTAAGAAAGATGTGGACGAATTGAAGGGAGTCCAGAGGAGATCAGTAAAAATGATAAAAGGTTTAGAAAACATGTCTTATAAGGAAAGATTGAAAGAACTATGCATATTTAGTGTAGAGAGGAGATGGCTGAAGGGGGACCTGGTAAGTCTTCAAATACATAAGTGATTATTATAAAGAGGACATTATTCAATTGTTTTTCATGTCCTCTGAGGATAGGACAAGAAGTAATTGGCTTAGTTTGCAGTATGGGAGTTTTAAGTTGGCTATCTCTAACTATAAGAATAATTAAGCAGTAGAACAGTGATTTTCCCCTGATATCTTTAGCTTCCCTTATCAATTTTCTACACTTCATAGTTGGTAATTTATAATGTTCACAATCTACATCATGTTTTTTTTCCATTTGTTATATAGTGTGTGTTTGTTTCTAATTTCTGGCTTCACTTCCATCTTAACTAGGATGGGCTTTTAACCCAGTTGTCCTCTTCTGTGACTGAGGAATTGTGGCTTTTGGGCTATCTAGTAAACTCTTCTTAAACAATTCCAATGTTCATTCATATTTTGCTCTCTAAATTCTTCCTTCCCATCAGTTTTGCTCATAATTCTTATTTTCTTCATCTTTGGAAAATTAGGTTCCAAGTATATTTGTTACTTAGCTGGGATTATCCTCTGTTTTATCCATATATTAATGTAATGAGGTCTTGGTCAGTGGTCCACTGACAACCACAACTTCCAGTCCAGTGATCAATTCATAATAATGAGGGTCCAAAATAGTTATCTTAGGTGTTTCATCTTTTCTTTCAGAATATTATCACCTATGATAGAAACTCTGATGGTGTTTCATTACTGGCTGCATGAGACCTGCAGCATATATTTCACATAACACAATTTTTCCTAACACAAATTGCAGACAGGCGCTTTAAGGAGCAACTTGTCCTTTTGTCTAAATTGATTCAGTCATCTGCAACAGCCCCCCTTGAGCTTTATTAGTTAGCAAATTGATCCACATGCATTCAAGATTCTGCTGTTCTGAACTATCAATAATTCTAAAACAGGTAATGGTTTGCTTAATGTAGAGTGCCAGTCCCCACCTCTTTTACTCACTATATGTCTCCTAAATAGATTGTAACCAGTGATGTTGACATTCCAGTAAAGAGAAGCATCCACCCAGAGGTTGGTAATGCCAGTTGTCAAATTTCTTCTCACCAGTGAGAATTTCCAGTTCCTTCTGCTTATTACCCAGACTCCTAGCACCGTTGTATAAGAAATTAAAAAAATAATTTTCTTTACGTTCTTTGCTACTTAGGTTCAATATGTTCCTAGAACCTGGAGTCTGAGTTTGTAATGCTTTCGATCCTTTAACATTATTCCTTTGCATTATATTTTTATATATATGAACCAAAGATGAGGCTGGGAATATGTTTGTGCGTGCGTGCGCACTCATGTGCGCTTTTAAGTCAGATGTAGTACTGAGTGAAAATTCTTTATGTACTTAAATACAATGATTTTCATTCAGGAGGAAAAAGAATAAACTATGCATTAAAATTGAACAAGAAAAAATTCAAATGTACTTGGAAATAAGTACTCTTGCAGACTATATTGGGAGGGAAATGAAAAGATGCGGTAAAGGAGGAAGAAATATGATTTAGAATTAATGTGTTCAGATTCTTTGAGCATGATATAAAAGTTTCATTAATTACAAACTAAAAAAAAGTATATTTTTAAAGTAAAGAAATAGCTCTGGGTCAGAGAACGAAGAAGTGTTTTAAGAAGATGAAGTAGCCAAATGGAAATTTGATTCTAGCCATTGTATGTGGGGGAAGACTCAAAAAGAAGGCATTATTAGTAGAGTTTTGTGGGCAGACAAAGAAAGTAGATAAATGTCAGGTGTCAGAAACAGATCATTTGAGCTTTGTCAGATTTTCTTATCATTATCAGCACACCAGCTTGCTTTCTCCCTAAATTCTCACCAGGAACTTTTCTAATAACTAAATCAAATTATTTCTGCAGCCTGTCAGAACTGTATTGCCCATTTTGGTTGAATCTTAATGGTTTATAACCCATCTTTAATGTTGGAATTCAGTGATTACATGAATATTCCTTAAATTAGGGAAACTGGCACAGGAAAATACACATTCTCTCTTTGAATTTTCTCAGGTTTGGTTTTCCAAGTTTTTGTATTAGTAGCAAGAGACAACTTTAAAGCTCAATCCTGCAAGATGCAGAGCACATTCTTGGAGTGCTATTGCGCACTCTCATTCATATGGCAGTCTAGATTACTTAACACATTACAGAATAGAGCTTTAAATGATTTAAAAGACTGACGCACATTTGGTTAGTGCACTTAAATTGGAATAAACCAATTTAATTCTTTTAAAGTAGGTAGTGTTAAATAATATTCTTCAGTTACAATAAGTACTCCGTCCTGTAAAAATGAGGTTGCTAAGAAATGTAATATTTCTACTAATTCAGTGTTTAAACATTTTCCATATCCCTTTCTAAACATGCTAGTTTCTAATTTTTCTTGCTTGTTAGTGATATAGTTGTGATATAGAATTTGATTTGATATGCTTGGCACTGTATCTTGGAAAATCATCTCCTAAGCATGTGCATACATATCAGCTGATTTCACAAGTTGCATAATGGTAAACACATGCTTATCTCCAATCGGAGCTGATTTATAAATTAAACATTATTTAACTTCTCTTTCTAATTAAGCAGTATGAGGAAATAGGATGTATTCACAAATAGGAGAAAAGCATATTGGCTTACATATTTGTTCTTAGAGACTAAACTCTTTTTTAAATTGTTGGTTCGAATCAGTTTTGTGTATGTTTTAAAACTGCATCTTTTAAATTGTTAACTTTAACTTAGTTATCTTTGCATTTGCTTTTCAGAATTTATTGTTCACAGATGAAAATGATAATTCAGAAATAAAAATAATTGATTTTGGATTTGCTCGGTTAAAACCACCTGATAATCAGCCTCTTAAGACTCCATGTTTTACTCTTCATTATGCTGCCCCAGAGCTCTTGAATCACAATGGTTATGACGAATCCTGTGATCTCTGGAGTTTGGGGGTCATTCTGGTGAGTGTTTGGTTGTGTGGCTTATTTATTTTAATCATTCTATAACACGAGCCGAATTGATTCCTTGTTAAAATTAATGTCTGGGGAGGGCTTGACATTGCCCCAGATAAACTAGAATTGGATAGACACTGCTTTGGAGTGGAGTGAGGATATATTTTTCCTGCACATATAGTAGCAAGCTGGGATGTGTATTGGAGGCATTTAAGAAGGTAGAGCTAGAGCCAGCTTTCAGTTTTTTTCTGAGCAATTTGATTAAATTATTTTCCTTGGAATGTTCACCTGTTAAAACAGCTTGGATGTGTGAAGAAAATAATAAGTCGATTATGAGACCTCTATAAATTTATATTATGCTCTTAAAACTGTTCCGGTTCAGATAAAGATCCAACCTACATTCCGTTTTACAGAAAAATTTAAGTAAATGGTATAGGCTTTCCCACTGCATAAAATCTGTATGTTTTCAACATTCCTGAGACATGTAAGCCATGTTGCTTACAAGGTCTCTAAATAAAGACCTGTTGTGCTTTAGACCATGTACACCTTAAAGAGAAAATATAACTCTTATTAAAGTACCATTAGTTGGAATATATACGCTGTTGCTAACTCTGCAAGTAACAATATCTGAATATTGAGTTAGTTAGGTTAATGTGTAATCAGTAATGTTGTAGTAAAGTTGGCAATAAATATATGGTACTAATTAGTACTAGTTTTGTCCTCCTGGTAGTATACAATGCTGTCAGGACAGGTACCCTTCCAGTCTCAAGACAAAGGTTTAACATGCATCAGTGCATTGGAAATTATGAAGAAAATTAAAAAGGGAGAATTCTCCTTTGAAAGAGAAGCCTGGAAGAATGTATCTCAAGAAGCCAAAGATTTGATACAAGGTAGGTATCCATAGATATTTCATATTTTTCTTTTAGTTGCAGTGACCAGAGAAAAGTACCATACTGTATACTTTTGTGCTCTTCAGTTTTTGGTGCTTTATTAACTTAAGTTTATAAGGAAACCAAAGTAGTCTTTTTGTTACAAGCAGTAATTATCAGCTCATCCAGAATCAGTCTATAATTTTTTAGGATGTCAGTTATTGAACACTTGATTTATTATTGTTGATTTATGAATGTTTTATAACAAGTACTTAGTTCATTTCTCTGTTAAAAAGTATTTTGTACAACCCTGTGTCAACATTGTATGAGCTATATCTAAAGTGATATATAATCATGACTCATCAAATGATTCAAGTTTTATGTTTTCAAATGATTACTTTATCCACAGTATTAAAAAGATAAATAATAGCTCCTGGATTAAGAATATATTTAATATATATATAATATATTTCTGTTAGGACTTCTTACAGTGGATCCAAATAAAAGAATTAAAATGTCCAGTTTGCGATACAGTGAATGGCTTCAAGATGGGAGCCAGCTGTCATCCAATCCTCTAATGACTCCTGATAACTTAGGCTCTTCAGGAGCTGCTGTACATACATACGTCAAAGCAACCTTTCATGTAAGCTTAAAAACTCTTGTGTTTTAATTATAAATATTAAACATTTGTTATATTATATCAGCCTAGAATTTGGATGTACATGAATTTGTTTATTTAAAAATGTATTTACATTTAGAGTTCTATGATAGGTGTATAGGAAATTACAGAAATATAAGGCCTATATAATATGTTGACTTGTATCAATGGCCAAAAACCTACATGAGAGAATATAATGAAACACATGTCAAAATGGGAAGTTGAGAGAAGAATATAGATTTTGACAGCATATTTATATCACTGAGGAAAATGATGATGGTGAAACAGCTACCATAAATATACAAGTTTAGAGAAGGTCCTTAAACAAAGCTTTGTAAGATATGTGTAACATTCTGGTTACACTTAGCACTTGCTTGACTTTCAGTTTAATTGCCCTTCTTGTGATTAGGAAAGAGAGAAAATTAATCGCCATTTTAATCGCATTGTTAAATGAATACCAATTTAAATTTATTAAATATTTTGGATGTTTTTCTACATTTTCAAATGTATTGATTTCAAATACAACACAGAATACAAAGTGTACACTCCTCACTTTATATTATTATTTTTGATTACAAATATTTGCACTATAAAAATGATAAACATAGGAAATAGTATTTTTCAATTCACCTCATACAAGTACTGTAGTGCAATCTCTTTATTGTGAAAGTGCAACTTACAAATGTAGAATTTTTTTTGTTACATAACTGCACTCAAAAACAAAACAATGCAAAACTTCAGCGCCTACAAGTTCATACAATCCTACTTCTCGTTCAGGCAATCGCCAAGATAAACCAGTTTGTTTACATTTATGGGAGATAATGCTGCCTACTTCTTATTTACAGTGTCACCAGAAAGTGAGAACAGGCGTTCACATGGCACTTTTGTAGCCGGCATTGCAAGGTATATATGTGCCAGATATGCTAAACATACGTATGCGTTTTCATGCTTCGGCCACCATTCCAGAGGACATGCTTGCATTCTGATGACGCTCATTAAAAAAATAATGTGTTAATTAAATTTGTGACTGAACTCCCTGGGGGAGAATTGTATGTCTCCAGCTCTATTTTACCTGCATTCTCCCATATATTTCATGTTATAGTAGTCTCGGATGATGACTCAGCACATGTTGTTCATTTTAAAAACACTTTCACTGAAGATTTGACAAAACGCAAAGAAGGTACCAATGTGAGATTTCTAAAGATAGCTACAGCACTCAACCCAAGATTTAAGACTCTCAAGTGCCTTCCAAAATCTGAGAGGGACGAGGTGTGGAGTATGCTTTCAAAAGTCTTAAAAGAGCAACACTCCAATGTGAAAACTACAGAACCCGAACCACCAAAAAAGAAAATCAACCTTCTGCTGGTTGCATCTTACTCAGATGATGAAAATGAACATGCGTTGGTCTGCACTGCTTTGGATTGTTATTGAGCACAACCCGTCATCATCATGTCCTCTGGAATAGTGGTTGAAGCATGCAGGGTCATGTGAATCTTCAGCGCATCTGGCATGGAAATATCTTGTGACGCCAGCTACAGCAGTGCCATGAGAACGCCTGTTCTCACTTTCAGGTGACACTTTGAACAAGACGCGGGCAGCATTATCTTCTGCAAATGTAAACAAACTTGTTTGTCTGAGCGATTGGCTGAACAAGAAATAGGACTGAGTGGACTTGTGGGCTCTAAAGTTTTGTATTGTTTTATTTTTGAACGCAGTGGTTTTTTTGTATATAATTCTACATTTGTAAGTTCAACTTTCCTGATAAAGAGATTGCACTACAGTACTTGTATTAGGTGAATTGAAAAATACTATTTCTTTTGTTTTTTACAGTGCAAATATTTGTAATAAAAATAAATATAAAGTTAGAATCGTACACTTTGTATTCTGTTGTAATTGAAATCAATGTATTTGAAAATGTAGAAAACCTCCACAAATATTTAAATAAATGGTATTCTATTATTGTTTAACATTGCGATTAATCGTGGGAGTAACATTTTTAATCGCTTGACAGCACTAGTTTAAAGGCTTGTAAAATTGTCATAAACTACATGAAGAATGTATAGACATGACTCTTGAGAAATAATAAAACATAGAACTCATACTTCATTACACATGTTCTAACATTTCTTAAACCTTTTATAAATGCATAAATTGCCTTTTTATTTTGAAACAGGCCTTTAACAAGTACAAAAGGGAAGGATTTTGCCTCCAGAATGTTGACAAGGCACCTCTTGCTAAAAGAAGGAAGATGAAAAAGACAAGTACAAGCACAGAGACACGTAGCAGTTCCAGTGAAAGTTCACATTCTTCCTCCTCTCATTCTCATGGTAAAATTACACCAACAAAAACCCTGCAGCCAACAAATCCTGCAGACAGCAATAACCCAGAAACCATCTTCCAGTTCTCTGACTGAAAAGCAGAGAAATATCCTCTCTCGAACAATTAAGAGGTGATAAGCCTGGTAGTACCTGTCCCTCCTTGGAACAGAGGGATTACGGGGATATGTTCATTGCTTTGAACAACTTGTTTCAGTTCTGCCTTTTTAACTTTTTGTTTCAAGACATTTGGTTTTAGTCCTAGTTCTGAATCACTGGATGTGGTATAATATTGTGAATACAACTATCATTGAACTCTCTTAGGGCTAGATTGGTGTGCAGCCTAGTCCTGAGTAAGGGGTAATCACATTGTTGTTTTATCCCTGGAGGAAGAGTGTGACTGAGAGCATAATCTCCTTTCAGTTTCCCCACTGTTCCAGGGAGGGAATATACTGTAAAAGTCAATGTGTACTCCCTGAAACGCTGTGTAACTTTGCCACTAGGCATGTTGTGGGGAGCAGAGTCAAGAGCCCTCCTGCCCATCTGCATAAGGAGGGTCATAGCAGCTCTGGTTCTCTCTGCACACAAGTAATGGCGGTACAGTGCACTAAAGCAAGAGGCCATCTTACATCACTTCTAACTCCCTTGTGTTGGTGCATAGGATAGGCCGGAACCTGGACCTTATTTAGGAATTTAAGAACAGAGTTGAACATAAAAGGAGTACCATTATGCTGTTTTACAAATTTATTCCTTAAATTTGGTTTTACGCTACTCAGAATATAACAGTCTTATATTATCTAGATGCAAAAGGAATCTATGGCTAGCAAGATGAGGTGACTTTGCATTGTAATGCTATTGTTTATTTGTATTTCTAGAAAATATAAATTTTTAAAAAACTTTTCAAGCTCCAAAACCCAATGATATACCAGAGAAAAGAAGTTGAAATTTAGTACTGAACATTTTTTTTTAAATGGTCATGTGTTCAAATATCTATTTCAAGGAACAGCTAAAATGTATTGTGTTTATCTTTTATATTTCTATGATAACTTGAAGATACCAAGATGAATCTTTTTTTTAAAAGATGCAGAAACGCCAAATTCCATTTTTGTTATCATGGGGTTCATATTGAATGCATGCCAACTTATGTTTTTAATTTTGCATTGCACAAATGTGGCAGTTAGCTTAATACTGATCATAAAATATTCAAATATATTTTTCTTGTTTGTGCTTTATAAAACACCTTAATGATTTTGATGTTTTCTCATGGAGTGTTTTTGGGATCCCACAAGGTGTTGCATGCTGCTCTGAGATGCTGAGTGTCCTTAAGTCTCACTGATTTCAGCGGGAGTTGTGGGCTCTTAGCACCTTTGGAGGAGTGCTCAGCATCTGGCAGGAATGAAACCCTGTAGCTTTGCCATTTTTTTCATTCCTTACATTACATTTCCTTCCTCACATCTTGCTTCTGTCTTGTACATAATAAATAACTAGACTTGGGCATGTTGTATAGTGTAGTTGTAAAGCACTTATGCACTGGGAAAACTAAAGGGAAATTATACTAAACACTGTGTTTCACAACTGTACACTGTTGTACTACAGTGAGGTATTTCCTGCTGTGGTAGTATATTATGTACATAACCTATTTGGAATCATAAATATGTGACTTTTACTGAAACATTTCCATAGATATACTTTTAAATTGAATAGCATATTTTGTAAACTTATGCAGAGCATTTCTACTGCTCACCTTCTGAATGACTAGGGACAATTATTAAGTGCTAAATAAGACCCCAGTTTTGTAAACAATTACACATGTGAGTCATCTCATTAACATCAATGAGACTACTGATGTAAAGTACATGTGTAATTGTTAGCATGATTGGAACCTAGTTGACTAACAGATTTTATTAACAACTTGCTGCATTTTAAAGTAAACTTAATCCAAACCCTATGCAAAAAGGATATAGGAATTGTTTATGTCAATGGTTTTATTTATTTAATTACATCAGATAACAGTGTTGAGAAATCTTATGCAGCCATGTTTACAAGGACTGTGTTTGATAAAACCAAGAGGTTTTGAGACCAACATTTGTTCTGTGTTGCTTTAATATTATTAATGACAGCATTTTGAGGATTTGAGAATTACTGATGTGAATTACTTAATTTACTACTTTCTTGACATGAGTGTCAGTAGTAATTGCAGCATTAATTTTAGGTTGATGTGAATATTGAGACATTTGCACTGTTTATGTAGAATTAGTATATTTAATCTTAAAAATCAGTATATATGCTGGTAAAACAAACAATTTAAAGTGGCTGGTGTTAAGATATTTTAAACTAATATTAATATAATATTCAGATTTGCTTTCTGAATACTGTCTTGGGAGTAATCTCAGTAATAAATACAACTAATTTGTAAACAAATACATTCTCTCTCCCCAGTAAACCTACAGTAAATACAAAGAAATCACAGCAACAATTAATATTTATTATGCAAACAGCACTAACAAATTGCAATGCCGACTGTTTGTAATGTTCAGTAAACCGCACTTTGAGATATTTTTGCTGTTCAGTTTTTCAAGTACTTTTTAAACAAAAACAAAAAGGTTTCTAAATGGAAAAAAAAATTGGAATTAAATGACCCTGCTGAATTTAACTTCTTAAAATAAGGGGATAATAAAATGTGTTCCCTTGCTTGGGAAACTTGAAGAAATGACTTTTTATATTAGAATAACTTTTTGGGCAATTGCTAAAATTGACTAAAAGAGTGATCATTTCATTCTGAGGAAAGTGCAGTTGTATTTTCATTGTTTTATCACACAGGCATTTATGAAATACTTCATTATGCCATTTTTAGATTATATTGGGACTCTGGAATTATTACAGCTCACAGTAATGGATACACATCTCTTGCATAAAAGACATTTTCTTTTATACAAGGATATTTGGATGCAAAGTCTGCTTTTCTTTTGTGCTATACTGGTATAGTGTTTTGCCAATCACCTATTTAATTTTTAATATGAGGACGAACAATACTCAGTCACATATAAATATCATGGACCTGATTCTTCATTGCCCTTTGCCTTGTGCAGTCATTTATGCCTATGCAAAGTGGGTGTAAAATTTTGCCACACCATAATGTTAGGACTAGATTCTCATTTATGCTAAGACTACTTTACACCACTCTATTAGTGTAAAAGGGCACTAAGTGGGTGTAAATTACACTTATAGTTTAATGACAGGTTTCAGAGTAGCAGCCGTGTTAGTCTGTATCCGCAAAAAGAACTGGAGTACTTGTGGCACCTTAGAGACTAACAAATTTATTAGAGCATAAGCTTTCGTGGGCTACAGCCCACTTCTTCAGATGCATATAGAATGGAACATATATTGAGGAGATATATGTACACACATACAGAGAGTATGAACAGGTGGGAGTTGTCTTACCAACTCTGAGAGGCCAGTTAAGTAAGAGGAAAAAAACTTTTGAAGTGATAATCAAGATAGCCAACAGACCTGCGGGTGGCTATTTTACAACAGAAAAACTTCAAAAACAGACTCCAACGAGAGCCTGCTGAGCTGGAATTGATATGCAAACTAGATGCAATCAATTTAGGATTGAATAAGGACTGGGAATGGCTGAGCCATTACAAACATTGAATCTATCTCCCCTTTTAAGTATTCTCACACTTCTTATCAAACTGTCTGTACTGGGCTATCTTGATTATCACTTCAGAAGTTTTTTTTCTCGTACTTAATTGGCCTCTCAGAGTTGGTAAGACAACTCCCACCTGTTCATGCTCTCTGTATGTGTGTGTGTATATATATCTCCTCAATATATGTTCCATTCTATATGCATCCAAAGAAGTGGGCTGTAGCCCACGAAAGCTTATGCTCTAATAAATTTGTTAGTCTCTAAGGTGCCACAAGTACTCCTATTTATAGTTTAAAGTACTTTTAAACCACTGCACAGGGTGGAATCAAGCCCCATATATTTCTAATTGTATGTATACTTCTAGATTTCTCTCTGATTAGCACAAAATACTAAATTCAGCCACATTTATTAAGAGGAAGTATGGCAAATGTTACTGACAGATTCTAATTTAATTTGAATTTATATCTCTCCATTCCTTCCAGATTATTTGGTGCAGTCTACAGTACTAGGAAGAGCAGTAGATTAGCTTCTTGAAAACCCAGTTCTTTAACAGTATAGCTCTAAATTACTATTTACTTTTATTTATATTAACATATTTTTTAAAAAAATCAAAATATTTAGTTGTACAAATAAACTATTTATTTGTTCTGAGAACTTACTGTTTTTAAAAAGACAAACGGTAACAATTTAGGGCTAGATATGAAAAAAGCAGAAGGCTTGGAGCAGGAAAAGCACAAAACCAGAGTTTTACTTGACTTTCTACTTCTCAGAATAAATTAAATTCCTCCTTCTCACACAAAGAGCAATCTATCCTTAATTTAGAGGATTGTTTCTTCATAGAAGGTCAGACAAAGTACTTAATACACTTATCTCACATGTACAGTATTATAAAAGAAGAATTTTACTACAATGGATAATTGTTATTGTTCTTCAGAAGAGCATAAAAATACAATATACCATCAAGATGGCTGACATTTCCCATCTTCCAGATTGACATTACTGATGCACCTGTTTTCGCTGCCCTTCAAAACAAAATAATTTATACCAGCACAGCCACATTCCCCTGCTGCTTCTTCCAGAATATACTTAAAGGAATAGATTCACACAATTGTCATGTATGTGTTTTATCAGTATTCTAAAGAATTGTTACTATATAAGTATCATTCTCAATTTTTAACAAGAAGTGTGTATATATTTTATTTTTTTAATAGTTATTTGGTCTTCAGTTATATTTTTTGTTGTGGTATTATGCCTTAAGCATCATACCTAGGGCACTACCAAATTCACGGTCCATTTTGGTCAATTTCATGGTCATAGGATTTTAAAAGTCATAAATTTCATTATTTAAGCTATTTAAGTCTAAAATTTCACAGTGTTGTAATTGTAGGGGTCCTGACCCAAAAAGGAGTTGTAGGGGGTCACAAGGTTATTGTAAGGGGAATTGCAGTACTGCTACCCTTACTTCTAAGCTGCTGCTGGCAGCAGTGCTGCCTTCAGAGCTGGGCAGCTGGAGAGTGATGGCTGCTGGCCGGTATCCTAGCTCTGAAGGCAGCACCACTGCCAGCAGCAGTTCAGAAGTAAGGATGGCATGGTACAGTATTGCCACCCTTATTTCTGCGCTGCTGCCTGCAGAACTGGACTCTCAGTCAGCAGCCATCACTCTCCGGCCCCCCAGCTCTGAAGGCAGCAGCGCAGAAGTAAGGATGGCATGGTATGGTATTGCCACCCTTACTTCTGCACTGCTGATGGCAGGGCACTGCCTTCAGAGCTGGGCGCCTGGTCAAAAGCTGCTGCTCTCCTGCTGCCCAGCTCTGAAGGCAGCACAGAAGTAAGGGTGGCAATACCTCCACCCAACTAAAATAAACTTGCAACTCCCTTTTGGGTCAGGACCCCCAATTTGAGAACTGCTGGTCTCCCCCATTAAATCTATATATTATTAGGTAAAAGCACACAAAAGACTAGATTTCACGGGAGGAGACCAGATTTCATGGTCTGTGACGCGTTTTTCATGGCTGTGAATTTGATAAGGCCCTAATCATACCAGAGGCTTTGGCTCAGTCTTCCTGATCATGGTCCATATCTTTTCTTTGCATGCCCCCCCCCCCGCACCCCAATACACATCACATACACACACACACACCCTCACTGGCTTTTACTGTGACCATCACTGTATTTCTTTCCTTCCTTCTGAGGAATCTTAATGTTTGAATCTTCTAGGTAGCGGAAACTGGAAATAGTGTGGCTGCTACTGTTCCAGAGACCAAAGTGCCTTGATCTTTCAGTCTTTGTCAACCAGTAAAAAAATATCTTCAGTTTACTCCCGAGACATCAGTCTTTTGTAAGTTGGTAAAAATGACAACTGTATAGCTCCAAGCCAGCTTTCCCCTACCACCCTCCATTTTTATAAGTCACTTATTTGTCTGTTGAGTTAAGAGTTCTGAATTGTTATGTAGCAACAAAAACTTAGGAGTGAGCTGATGCATCCTACATTCCAGATGGGTGGACAAAACTGAGGGTCTGCATTGCATAGACTGATGTGGGCAGTCTGATGTATTTACTGATTGTATATACTTGCATCCAAAAATAGTAAGAAAAAAATAAGAAAAGTGAAATGATGATTATTGGAAAAAAAAGTTAACGAGGTATAGCTTGAGAATATACATAAGCTACCAGTTGTTTTCCAGAGCTGTTCACTGAGCTAACTACAAAAATTGATGGATGGAAGATATGGGTCTCCTCTCCTTGTGCTTTGAGATAAACATTTTTCCTTCTTCTGTTCTATCTAGAAGTTTATATAGCATTCATCAGTGTAGCATATGAGTGACTAGCATATTTATTTCCATGTCAGGAAGATTGTGAAATTGCATGACACAAGAATGGAAAAGCTTATTTTTATGTTAGCACTTTTTTTTTAAGTAGAAATTGGAATTTTTGTGTGTTAAAGAACAAAAGTTAACTATTTGCTGTTTTTTAAAAATTCTTTACAAACTACTAAAAAAAGAAATATCTATGGTGACAATGAAGTCCATTTTAAAAATCTATGCTTAAAATCTGTTTAAGAATAAACAAAATACACAACCTTGTCCTGACTTTTATACCATTAGTTTTAGGAAATATGATTCAAAGTAAAATGCTGCATTATAGATAAGTTTTATATTTTAACCAAATTTACTGTAAAGTCAGATGCATATTTTTGTTTTGTGGGGTTTATTGAGGCCTGCTATATTAGACCTTATTCCTTTTTATAGCACCCCTATAAATATGCTTATTTTAGTTGCTTGTATAATTCTTCTTTAAAAAAAAAAAGTGTGTGTGTGTGTGGTGTGTGTGTGTGTGTGTGTGTGTGTGTGGTGTGTGTAACACTGGGTCATGTAGTTTACTAAATTCATGATCTAATATAATTCTTCACTCCAGTGTCCTCTTTTTCAAGGGGT